CCTCTTCGACCTGTTTGTTTCCTCTCCACCTATCCTCTCCTCTATCCCTCTTCTATCCGCCTCCCACTCTCTCCCTATTTATTTCAAAACCCCCTTCCCCTCCCCCTTTTCTGATGAAGGGTCTAGGCCCGAAACGTCAGCCTCTCTGCTCCTATGATGCTGCTTGGCCTGCTGTGTTCATCCAGCCCTGCACCTTGTTGTATCAAATAAGGGCGGGGCCTAGTAGCTCGTGTGCTACTGATTGGCAGGAAAGGCGACACGAGTGGGCGGTACCGTGGCGAGTCCGGTTCACGCTTGCGCATTGCGGCGCCGCGCAGAGTGCTGTTCGCGCCTGAGCGCCGGAGTGGCGCGACGGGCTCGCACCTGCGCGTTGCCGTGGCGCGGTAAGCCGGTATTGCGCCTGCGCATTGCTGTGGTGGTGGCGGCGGCGGCGCCCAGGTTTTGCTCCTGCGCGTTGCTTTGGAGCGGAGAGCAGGGTTCGCGCCTGCGCATTGGAGCGGGGTGCCCGGCACGGTTCACGCCTGCGCATTGCCAGGGTAGAAGGGAGGAGGTGGAGGCTGATGGCAGCTGAAGATGGCGGAGGGGAAGGAGCCGAATAATAAGTGGGTTCGGCTCAATGTCGGCGGCACTCACTTTCTAACCACTCGGCAGACCCTATGCCGCGAGGAGAAGTCGTTCCTGTACCGTCTGTGCCAGGAGGAGGGGGAGCTGCTTTCGGATCGAGTGAGTGACCTGGGTTCAGGAGGCGGGGTGTGTAGGCCCGGGGTAACCTGGCCAGGTTGAGAGCAGGGAGAATTCCTTACTCTCACACAAACTGGCCTTCAAGCTCTCAGTGAATAAAGAGCCGTCGAAGGAGAAACCCTAACATTGGTTCAATATTGAAACTTGGAAGTCAAAGTTAAAAAAAGGCATAATTGCATTTACGTAGCACCTTTCACGACACGCGTTGCCCAAGCGTTTCAGTCAGCTTAGCACTTCCTTGAAGTTTAGCCTCTCTTGTTTATGCAGGCAATGCAGCAGCACAACAAGCTTCCACCAACAGCAGTGAGATAATGAGCAGAGATCTTGTTTCTGTGATGAAGAAGTCACGTTAGACTCAACATTAATTCTTTTTCTGTCTCCACAGATACTGCTAGGCCTGCTGAGTTTCTTCCAGCACTGGATCTTTATTTTGGATTTCCAGCATCCACAGTCTCTTGCTTTATCTGTTTAAGTTATGTCAATTATTGGCCAGGATCCCACAGAGACTTTCTCTGCCCTCTGAAATAGTGCTTGTGATTATTTGTGATTATATGTCACTTGTGAAGGCATCCAGGGCTTTGGTTTAACTTTATAGCCAACAGATGGCAATTGGCAGCATAGGGCTCCCTCAGTCCTGCAGTAGAGGGTAAGCTTTGATTTCTGATTCTTAAGGCCAGGCATGGGAACCTAGTCAGCAGACCTAAGGTACAGATCAGACATGATCTAATTGAATAGTGGAGCGGACTTAAAGGTTTGTTCTGTTTACCTGACTCCTCTTCCTACACTTGCATAACTTGTTGGAGTGCAGCTAGGCTCAGGGACTCTGGGGTTATTTTCTTCAGCTTTCCCTTCCTCGCTTGGGAATATGGATCCTGTCCTGCTAACCAGCCAATTAAAGTATTTATTTGCCTGTGAAAGAACTGTAATTCTAAGAATCCGTCTTTATTTTGATCGATCTCTGTAGTTATCTAAATTTTTCCTTCTTTACCTGGTTTCCTTAATAGTGGTACTTCACCACTGTCACTCTTTTCTTGCTGCTTTGTGTGTCTGTGTGGGTGGCTGAAAAATGCCTCCTTGCCAATGTGGGGATAAGTGTTAGTGATCCAAGCTATATTTAGATTTGTAATAAGGGCAATTTGCTTGCAATGCCAGAGTGATGATCAGTACTTCAGCCCATTTTGTGGTTGAATCTCATCCATGCCCTTGCTAGCCCCAGACACAATTCCACGCCTCTACTGGCTGGCCTCCTGCCTCCCAATCTTCTCAAGTTTCACTTAAACTGGAGCCGTGCTATCTGTGTCAAGTTTTGTTAAGCCATCACAAAGTTGCTGGAAAAGCTCAGCAGGTCTGGCAGCACCTGTGAAGAAAAAAACAGAGTTAACATTTTGGGTCTGGTGACCCTTCCTCGGTTCTGAGGAGCGTTAACTTTTTTTTTTCTTCACAGATGCTGCCAGACCTGCTGAGCTTTTTCAGCAACTTTGTTTTTGTTCCTGATTTACAGCATCCGCAGTTCTTTCGGTTTTTATTTTGTTACGATATTTGCTGAATTCAGCAAAGCCTCAATTTATCCTCCGCCTTGTATCCAAATCTCTTCTTGGCCCTTTGCCTCCCTGGACCTGAACCAACTCCATTGCCATCATAGGTGGCCGTGACTCTTAAAATCTATCTCTTTCACAAATATTATTTTACCTGCCCCTAATATTTCCTTACATGGCTCAGTGATGTGTTGTGTCTGATTGCAATCTTGTGAAGTACTGTGGGATGTTTTACCGTGTCAGTGGTACTATATACATGCAAGTTGCTGTTGGGAAATCTGTTCCACGTAGTGTACTGTGGGATTTACCATGCATCTGAAAACTTGGAGCTTTTCATTGAAACTCTCGGGCGTACTGCCAACATAGCTCAGGAATCAAAACATCTGGGGTGTTGACATTCCATATAACGATGTGAATTTAGCTTGACACTGCTTCAAAACAGCTCAACTCTTTGATGGATTCTCAGACTCCGAGCCTAGAAGGTGCATAGTTCTTTTTTGTGATCTTCCCCCAGAAAATCCCTTCATTTCTTCAATTCACTGTGCTCTGAGTTGTCAGGATTTGGAAAGCTTGACCATAAATAATTCCATAAATAATTTCAAAAGGAAGTCGAGCAGCTTCTTGAGTACGCAACTTACTGGGTTATGAGCAAAAGAAGAGGGTGTTCAATGTAAGCATTGTTGTTCCTTCAAAGGGCTGACATAAGCATGATGGGCCAAATAGCTGTCTCTGTGCTGTGGGTTTCTGTGATTCTGTAAAGCCAACAGCCACCATCTTTCACTACTGTTCATTTATGCATCTGGGCAGTGAGTATAGAAGGCATTACAGTAGAACCATTCCTATCCCACACCAGAATCCTATAAAAGGGGTGTTGTCCAACAAAGGCCATTGGTCTGCAATGGGGAATGACAACACTAGCTTTTTTTTCTTCATTTGTTCGTAGACATTTAGACTAATTATGGTTCCCGAGCTTGTGGCTGATTGGAGATCTGTCAACTTAGCATTGATTGGAAATAGAACTTGGATGGTGGAAGGACCTGAGATAACAAGGTGTAGAGCTGGATGAACACAGCAGGCCAAGCAGCATCAGAGGAGCAGGAAGGCTGACGTTTCGGGCCTAGACCCTTCTTCAGAAATCCTGGTGGAAGGACCTGTAGCTTTTGATCTTTATTGCCCTTAGAATGTTTGTTTGAGCAAACAGTTTTACATTTATGTAGCTCCTTTCACAAACTTGTTAATTGTCATATCATCACTAAATCTAGATTAGCTAGACATAGCTGCCAGTTTATAGTAAGTTCTGAGGAAGGGTCACCGGACCCGAAACGTTAACTCTGTTTTCTCCTTCACAGATGCTGCCAGACCTGCTGAGCTTTTCCAGCAACTTTGTTTTTGTTCCTGATTTACAGCATCCGCAATTCTTTTGGTTTTTGTTTTTAATTTATAGTAAGCTCCTATTCTGGCAAATGAGATGAAAGACTGGTTAATATGTTTCTTTGGTGCTGTAAATTGAGGGTTGACTAAGATATCAGTAAAGCCTTCTGATTTTCTTTGTGTGGCACTTCTGGAGTCTCTGCATTCGTCTGAATGGTTAGATGTGGCCCAAGTTTAACATGCTGTTTGGCCTGTCAGCACTCTTGTCATTAGACTGACAGCCCAATTACACCCTTAGGGCTTGGAGTGAGGCTTCAATCCATAAGTTAGTTCTTGTAGGCTATAACCTTCAGTCAAATCGATCGCTTTAAAGCTAATAGTCTACCTCCAAGAGTTAATAACCTTCTTACCAGAGGATTCTTTGAAAATATTTGCTTAAACCAACAGCTCTTGGGAGCCACAAGGTGAAAATTCACCATTTCTAAGTCAACTTACTTGCAAATTTTCAAGTATTGCTAGTACAAAGCATAATTTTGCACGTATAATAAGGTTGAATTCATGTGTCACCAGTTAAAAGGATACTACTGAATTAGACTTAACACTGAACTATTGTGTGTTTTTAAACTATATTTTTGTTAGTTAAGTCATCTTTAAAACAATCTTGAAATGTTTTGAATGAAGACTTTTTTTGGCTGTTGAGTATTGTGATATCAAAATAAAGCTAATAAACATTCAGACTAAGTTATTATCTTCCCGTTTGGTGTCAGATGTTGTACTGTTTCATTACTCAGATTGCACTAAAACTATTTGTCAGGTGTGAAGTTCCTGGCCATGATCATTTTGACAGTGTAGCTGTTAGGGCTCTGAGTGCATTTGTGAGCTAATGATAACAGTGAGCTAATGATGTTTTTTGCGGGGTGTGGAACCTGAACTCAAGGAGGCACATTGCACAAAGTTACAGTAGGGAAAGAGCAGAGGAGTGAGCTTCCAGAAGGAGCATTTGGTCCATATTCACTTAAAGGATGGATGAAGATGGCCTGAAAAATATGGCTGAGAAATGAATTGGCCTTCTAACCAGGAGACCTGAAAAAAAAAATTGTATGAATTTGTATAAATGGATTTTTTTTGAATTCAATAAATTTGAATTTGGTGTGCATAAATTTTAATGACTGTATGGCAGTAATTTTTTCTGTCTCCTTCTGTGCTACTTTTGAGAGTGAGTTGGTAACAGACTGTAGAGCTGCCAAGTGACAATAGCGAGATGAAGGGAGAGTGTAGATCTCAACCTCTTAGATGTTACTTGTGTAGAAGTTTGACCCTTAATTTGTGACTAAAAGTTCCGCCTTAAAGTTGACTTTTACACAAGTATAGATGACAGTTATTTCTTTCTGTAAGATATATCATCAATAGGATATTGAGAATTTAATTCCCTGAAGGGCTTCTCAGATTGATTCCATATTTAACTAAGCCATATCTCTATATAACATCGGACCATGGGCTGAACAATAAATTCTTGCCAGTTGTATAGTTCTATTCAGATAGAACCTTACAGTGCAGAAGGAGGTCATTTGACCCATCCGCTTGTGCTGGCTTCTTTGCAAGAGCAGTCCAATGTTTTGCATTTCTTTCTGCGTTTTGTAGATTATAGAATTCTACATGGCTGTTTACATAGGGAATGGATGTAATGCTTTGCATTACGGTGCATTTGTTGAATTTCAAAGATATTCCAAGTCTTCGATGTATTACTTTTTTTATTTGTTACTAAATCTGTATCACATGAAGCATAATGCCCAACATTATGTGTTACCTTACCTTTTTAAGTTATTGATATTAGTAAATATGTCTGGTGGCAGTACTGTGCTTCTTGTTGGGGGACCATCTGCTACACAGACTTTTGTGCCTCTGCATCCAAGATGACTTCAGTGCAATGTTGTGCCCTTAAACCACCTGCCAAAGCAGGTTGATGTGCTCTCCCATCCCAATTGAGTGGTGTTTTCAAGGGATAGTAAACCAGTGACTTTGCCCCCTCAGGATGAGACAGGAGCGTACCTGATTGACCGGGATCCCACGTACTTCGGGCCAATACTGAACTATCTCCGACATGGCAAACTTGTCATCAACAAGGAACTGGCAGAAGAAGGTAAGGTGCTTAGTCTTGAATACTTGGGGAGGTAGGAGCAAGAATGGAGTCCTTGAACCTGTATATATTGTAATGATTCACTATTCTAACCCTGTGTACCCACTTCGGCTTCATATCATTTTATGTCCTTGGCTGTGGTGGTCTACTGAACTTAGATTAAAACTTTTAATTGAGATTGCTTCTGCTGCTTTTTGTGGGAGTGTGTTCTGCCCTTTGTGTGAAGAACCACTTCTTAACTTCTAACCAGAGTGTGACCGGGTTCTGATTTTAAAGTTATTTCACTTGTCTTGTATTTCCCCACCAGCGCAATAAAGTTGTCTTCTACCTATTGATTCCTTTCCAATCCTAAAAATCACAAACTGCCCTTATCCTTTTATATTTCAGAAAACAAAAGGTTAGATTATGTCATTTCCCCTCGATGTAGTCATTGGTGTCTTGGTAATATTCAGGTGATTTTGTGTTGCATTCCTTTTAAGGCCTCTATATCCTCCTAACGTAGGGTGCCCAAAACTATACACGGTATTCCCAAATGCAGTCTAAGCAGAGGAATTTTAAAGCTCCAGCAAAACTTCCTCCCTTCTATATTCTGATCCCTTTTGTTCTGGAAGCCACCACTCTATTAGCCAATATATTTTGTTAGTGCCCAACCACTATGTTTTCCTGAAATTTGTACATCTGTTCCTATATCTCTCTTTGGGTCTCTACTGTTTTCCCTTTTCGCAGTTTTAAAATTATCCTTGGATCTATCCTTTTTTTTGATCCTGAGTGAAAGATTTCACAATTATCTGCACTAAAATCCCTCTGCAGGTTTGCCCCAGTGGGCGAAATAGTAGACCAAATAACTTTGAAGATTTGCTTGGTTGCAGGTCCTGATTCTTCTAGACAAACTCCAGATTAATTTACCAGCACCCTTAAGGTGGGTCAGTTACATATGACATAAAACAATTTTCGATTTTTTGATCATGAAGAAGAAATTCTCTTTTGGTAAAGAGTGGCTCTTACTTAAATCTCAAATTTATTGATGAGCAGGATTCATGAAGCTGTACCTCAACATTTTCATCAAGGTGTATCTTCAGCATAGGATTAATACTCAACAGCAAAAAGAATTCACTTCAGAGTTTTGCTGCACTTTTCGTAAGTGGAAAAAGGGAAAGCTCTTGAGTGTAAAATTTTCACCCAGAGAATCTGATTTTGAGGAGTACGTGCCCTGGTTAGAACATAGTATCAGAATTTAAGAAACAATTACTTCTCATTCTAGGGGCAATATAGATATGACTGGAAAATGAGTGGATGGGTGGATTTGATTTAAAAGATTATTGGATTAGGCCTTTTTCTCAGGGTGCAATATTTTGAGTATTCATAAAATGTTTCATTGGATGCCATTTGTTTGCATCTTTCTTCAACAGCATGTCAATAAAATGAAAAATTCTGACAATGTAAAAAGCAATAAACATTGCAAGAGGGATAATCAATTGTCTGATATTAAAATTATTCTGAGTTTGCTCAAATAATTTGATACTCCATTGTTACTGAGGGCCAGTAGATGTCATCTTGAATGCGTAGTGATGTCTCCCAGGCTCCTTCCATTCTGCCAGATTGTGTAAAGAGTAATTTAGTACTTTGAATATTACTGGTTTCTTAGTTTATTTTCTGGATAAGATTGCGGTCATTCAAAACTCTGCTGTCAGTGCAGCAGGTCCTGGAATGTTCACTAATTGACATTGGCTTCTTTTTCTGGTAATGGTGCAGTTTTAAAATTTTTACCATCAGTTTCAAATCCCTCTATGGCCTTTCCCCTATCTTGGTGTGTCCTGCAGTCTACAAGCTTCTAGGACCGTTGTGTTTCTGCAATTCTAGCCTCATGTGCATCCCCAACTTTCATCACTTCTTTGTTGAGGACCTGCATTGGGCTGTCTCGACCCGAGGTTTCACAATTCCATTCTTAAGCCTTTCTCTCTATCCCCCATCCTTTTGAAAATAACTCCTTAAAACAAATCTCTTTTATCCAGCTTTTGACCATTTGATCCAATTGTTTTCCCATTCATTCATGGGATGTGTATATTACTACCAAGGCAAGCATTTATTGTCCAATTTTAATTGCCCTTGAGAATGAGATGATGAGCCACCTTGGATCACTGAAGCCCATCTTGTGTAGGTACATCTACAGTGCTTATTAGGAAGGGAGTCCCAGTGTCAGTGAGGGAATACTATGATAGTTTTAAATCAGGATGGTGTGAGACATGGAGATGCTGGTCTTCCTTGCTTCTCCTGCCTTTGTCCTTCTGGTGGTGGAGGTCACATATTTGGAAGAAGCTGTCAAGAAGCCTTTGCAAATTGCTACATTGAATCTTACAGATAGCAGCAACGTGCACCAGTAGATGAAAATGTGAATGTTTACAGTGGTGAATGGACTGGCTGTTTTGTGTAGAAATCGAACCTCTGAAGTTTTGTTGGAGATGCACTCTTTGGGCAAGTGTGGGAGTGTTTAATTACACTCAGGACTTGGGCCCTGTAGATGGTGGACAGGCTTTGGGGAGTCAGGAGATGAGTTACTTGCAGATTTTGCAGCCTCTAACCTGCTGTCATCGCAACACTATTTATGTGTTCCTGGTCAGTTGGATTCTCCAGCATCTTGGTGCATTCTTTTGTGGTCTGTGCCAAATATTGTTTGATAACATTGTTGTGAAGCTTCTTAGGAAATTTTACTGTTAATTGTTGATAGAAATTTGAAAGAAAGTTTGGGACTTTCTCCATATTCTCATTTAGCAAAGGCACTACAGTCAAGTTTTCCTGGGGGTAAAGTACAATGAATGATGATTCCAGGTATTGAGGGGTTTAGGTTGTGAAGAAAGATTGTTGAGGGTGGACTTGTTCATCCATACGCTGATACAACACAAAAGGTGTTTGTTGGTGGCTGCTCCTTTTTTGGAATAATCCAAAGCTAGTCTCAGTGCTTCATTCTCTTGCTATGGCCTTGTATCATCTTCTTTTACAAATATTTATCACATTCACCCTTTAAAGCTGCAACAGTCTCTAATTCATAGGTGACTTATGGCAAATTATTCCACACCCCAAGAACTCTCTGAAAATAAATCTCTTGTGTCTTACTCATCAGTATTATGATGATTCATGATGTTTTATTGTTTGAGAACTTAGGTTCTAAGCTGGAGGAAAAATTTTTTTTTTAGTTTTCAGTTCTGTGAAGATCTGCCCCATTTTTGAAGTCGTTTTAAACAGTGAGTTGAAAACGGCATTTACAAGAGGTCATGAAATTTCAGCTAAATGACTGGTAAGCCTCTTGAGATAATTACTCATGTGTTTGCTGACTTAAGTCTAACAGCTTCCAGAGAAAAAGAGAGAGAGAGAGGGAATCAGAAGCAGTTTCATACAGAGAGATGAATTCCATAATTGCAGGGGTATTATAATTAGGTGTCTACGTGCAGTCAGTTTAGAGAAATGTCCCGAATGGTTTAGAAGTCAGTGAGAAGAAAGCAGCAGAATCCTACAAGGCTGTTGGAGATGTGCATTTAGGGAACCAGTGTTAAGTAATAAGTGAATTGAGTTAGCATTGTGTCTCTCCCAAGACCATTAAAACATTAATAACATGAAGTGAATGTAGAGGAATTTGTTGAAGATAACTGATTCTAGCTTGCCAACAGAGCAAGATGCTTTAGTGTGGAGGTAAGAGTGACTCTTCATTGAGATTAGAGTTTTTCAAGAGATTATTTTTCTTTCTAATGTTTGTAATGGGATGTTTTGTTAACAATGTTTTTTAAAAATGCATTGGTAGCCTCGTGTGGATTTTAAAAAACCAACTTGTTTGGACTTGTTGTGGCATACCTTTGGAACAGTTGGAACTTGAATCCAGATTTCTGGCCCAGAGGTAGGTGCTAGACCACAGAGGTTAAAGGGTGGGTCTACAGAGTCCAAGTAGATGCTTTTCCAGTCGGTATTTTATTCCAACTTGCACGTTGCAAAACTCCCAGCACACTGATTACCTGTTTCCCCCATATTTAAAGCTCAGTTCTCGCTCAATTATTCCTTAACTAACATAACTATCATCTGTTCTTTCGTTCCATTTAGTCTTGGGCATCTTGCCAGACCCTACTAAATGATAACAGTAAACAAAAATCAGAGTTGCAGATGCTGCAAATCTGAAACAAAAGCAGAACTAGCTGGAGAAACTCAGCAGGTCTGATGGCATCTGGAGAAAAAGCACAGTCAACATTTCGTGTCCAGTTCTGAAGAAGGGTCACTGGACCCAAAACATTAGCTCTGCTTTCTCTCCACAAATCCTGTCAGATCAGCTGATTTGTGGAGAGAAAGCAGAGCTAATGTTTTGGGTCCAGTGACCCT